TCCCTGTACTCTTACTCACTCTTCACATTTCAGCTGGGATAACATTTTCTCAGGGAAGTCCTCCCAGACCATCCAGGAAGACTACCTAGCCACACAAATTGTGATGTGAGTACATATTTATTGACATGAAAGAGGAACATGAGTGAACTAATTAGGGTACAAATACGATATCATTATAATTTTTAATCAGTTGAACTTTTCTTCTCAGCATCTACCACATTAAATAATTATATATATATATATATATATATATATATATATGATTATTTGATTAATGCCTTTCTTCTGCTAGACTGTAAATTCCTTGAGGGCAGAGCTATGGTCTAGTTTCTCTTCACCAGAACATAGCAATTTGGGCACATCACAGTAGCTGCTAATAAATTTTTGAGGAAGGAATGGATGAACTCATTGAAGCTTCTAATTCATTCACGTCACTTTCTCTCCTCTTCTCAGCCTTTTCTTGTTTTACTTAGATTCTTATCTAGCTTAGATGTTTTGACCATTACTGTAAGTAGTTCCAAATTACTCAAATCCTTTCCTCCATTCTGTCTCCCTGCCCAGTCTTCAGGGAACCCATCTGCCTACTGCCTGCACCCATACTGCTAGGCTTTCTTAGAGAAAAATCACAAGCCAGGCAGTTTAGCAACACCATAAATTCATTATCACTACCTTAAGTGTTTACTAGCTATCCTGTTACTCTTCTTTATTGGAATTCCATTCATGCCCTATTGGAATGACTGTCGATATGGGGTTGGTGCCTAAGAATTTTAGTCTAGTCTTGAGTTCTGCCTAATGAAGAATCAAAATGGGATTCACTAGCAAAGCAAGGACTAAAAGATCAGCAATATTTTAATATCTCCCATCATGAAATTCTCTGCTAAACTTAGTGGAAAATGTGGCTTAAATTGAGTCCAGGGGGAGACTCTTCCTCTTTCCTGGCTAAAGTGGAGACAGCCAGACCTGTAGAACAGGAGCCACCTGATTTATCTGCCCAGTCACAGCAGGGAAAGCTGAAACCAGGAGAGAAGGAGAATGGCTTTCTTCTCCGACTAGTGAGCCTCATTCCTCACCCTCTCTCTGTCTCATACCGAGAACCTAGACCAAGTACATCATTCTATCATTTAGCTTTCTATATGAACTTTCTATCAAGCATGGTGCTTATGCATTTCAAACCTTTTTGAATAAATATTAGTCTTTAATAAATTAAATTTCCTAAAGGGTGAAATGCTTTGTTGTATGATCACTTCTTTAATGTGCCCTTCATCTGTTGAAGAAAATAAAAATCCTGAATACATGGTTTGCTGAGTAAAATGTAAATTAAACACTAACTTAAAAAATTATATTTTATTAATTATAAATATTTTCTATATTCAAGACAGATCTAGAATCTACATTTAACGCAACTTGGGTACAAAGGTTTAGTTATGCAAGGTGAAGAAGTTCTAGAAATCTAACGTATAGCATGTTAGCTACAGTTAACAATACGATACTGTATTGAATATTTGAAATTTGCTGAGAGGGTGGGCTTTAAGTGTTTTACCACAACAACCAAAAAAGATTACTGTGAGATGATGGATATGTTAACCAGCCTGATTGTGGCGATCTTTCCAACATGTATACACATATCAAAACATCAAGTTATACACATTAAACACATACAATTTTTATTTGTCAATTATACCTCAGTAAAGCTGTTGAAAACAGACGATGGGGGCTGGCTTCACGGCCAAGTGGCTAAAGTTCTGTGTGCTCCACTTTGGTGGCTGGGTTTGCAGACAGGTTTGTGGATCTACTCAACTCATCAACCGTGCTGTGAAGGCATCCCACATACAAAGCAGAGGAAGACCAGCACAGATGTTAGCTCAGGGCTAATTTTCCTCAAGCGAAAAAAATAGAGGAGGATTGGCAATGGATTTTAGCTCAGGGTGAATCTTCCCCACAAATAAATAAATAAGTAACAGAAGGATGGATGAAAGCTGCCTTTACGGGTTCAGCTTCAAGGTCAAGAATTAACGGTTCAGTTGTCTGTTGCTATATAAAATGCAATAATAAAACTTAGAGGCTTAAAATAACAATTTATTTTTATAAAAAACAAATTGAAGCTTTGCCTAAAAAATACAGATAAAATACAATTTACCATTATGCTTTTCTTGTATGTGATAAGTCTGGAACATCTTTACACTTTCTGGAGGAAATTAAACATGAAAATAAGAAAACTTTCTCAGTTATTTTGTTAGTCTGTCCTATTGTGGTCTGATCACTCTTTGTTCTGTAAGAAGTATCATCACTGGAAACATCTGACCTTTTGAGAATGTAGATTTGTGTTTACACTGTGACCATGATATTAGTTTTGCACATGCCACCTGATTCTAAAATGTCCGGTTGGACATCTAAAAGAATCCATGTCATTTTCACCTGAATAAATTTTTACCAGACCAAGGTAAATTTAATAGTATTTTATTTCCTTGTGAGAAGTGTATTTATCATCTTATTTGGCTGTACAAACTATTTTTCAAGTCAGTCGTCATGCTTAAAAACATTAAAAGTAATCAGGGATGACTAGGATGGTAGAATCAATAACTTTTATAATCTTTTATCATTAGTTAATGGTGCAACAGAAACATTACTTCTAATTTTTAAGTCATAATTCCAGATATATTTGGAATAGTATAACTCCTTAGATACTGAAACTTGATGATCAGAAACTTTATGTCCAAAAGTCCTAAAGAAGAGGCCAAATCCCATTTCCTTTCAGAGTAGCTTCATAATTTGGGGCTAGTTATTTAAATTCTTTGATCCCAACTTTCCTCATCTGTGAAAGACTTCATCAGTGTTCTTTGAGGTTTAAATAAGACTGTAACACCCTCTTTTCCTCTCAGATAGAGTCTAAGTTTTTTGAGCAGAGGGACTCTCTCGAACTTTCTGGCTCTCCTGGCAAATAATTAATGTCCTGTCTGACATAATTGGTACTCAGTATTAGCTGGAATAAATGAATCTATGTATGCATAAATAAGCAAATGAATGAATGTATTCAATAAGGAATTTGGTAATCTACTTTCCTCAAATACTTATTGAGTATGCAAGGCATTTAACTCAGAAGCTTGAACAGATACCAAGTAGTCTAGGACAGATACTTCAAGTGATAGCTTAAAATTCCTTTTGACCTCTCTGCATATTTCTTCCCCCATGCTCCTGGCAATGGGCCTTTCCCCTTTGAAGAATTGCCCATCTCCATTCAACTGTCCCCGAACCCTGGCCACAGAGGTAAACATGTGACCCAGTCAAGGAAACCAGATTTGGATCTTGATCTGGGGTACACAGAAGCCATAGGCAGCTGAGGCTGAATCATGTGATGGCAGCGCCCTGAGGCTGCTCCATACGTTCTTACTGCTGAGACACCTGGACCTGCCCTAGTTCCCACTCTTCAATGAGCCTAGATTTTCATACATTTATTTAATTCTCTCAACTACCCCAGTTACTGTCCCTTGCAATAAGTCAATCACATTGGTACAATGTGGTAAAATAACGTAATTTATTCATAAAACAACACATAAATATGAAAAAGCATTAAATATGAAACTATACATATAAACACATATGATAAGTGTGCCAAAGCAATTATTATACCACTGAAGTATATTTTATAAAGGAAATCACAAAAGTTTTAATCTTTAATTAGTTTCCTTCTCCCTCTCATTTCTAAGGTGTAATTATACCCAGTAGTTAATCATTCCCTGACTCAGTAAGAGCCCTGACTTGGGGGATTAATACCCAAAGGGAAACCAAGGTTATTTAAAATCTCCTGTGTTTGGAAATTATTGCACTTCTTGGAGTTGGAAAGGAAATTACTGTAAGGGAGCTTAAGCACATTTAGATTTGTGACACTCTATTTGAAAGTGACTGAAAAAGAGAAGAATTCAAGATATTTCCCTGCAGAGTTCAGGCTGGTAATGATTTAGGCAGGGGAGGACTCCTTCCTTCTGCTGGATTAGGAAAGGAAAACAACATTCAAAGCACCAGCAAGTGATGTTCCCTTTTTGCCATTTAAGCACCCAAATTTTGTCTTTCACTTTTATTTTATTTTGGCTCTCAGTCCATCCTCTCACAATTAAAAAAATAAAAAGAGATAGATAGGGTTTTAGGCAATAGAACTGATAGATTGATCTATAATTTACAGATCTGACTGTGTTGGAAAATTTTTAAAAAGTAGAAAAAGAAATCAAAATTTTTCAAAATATGGAAATTAGAAATGAGTCTCTACGACTCCTACCCATGTGAATTTATAATAAAATTGGGCAATTGCTTAAGTTGGATCTGCTTAAACTATTACAGATTTTGGAGTCAGAAAGGGGACTATCAGTTACTCATTGTACAAATTCAGGAAAATGGAGACTACCTGTTAGTCACATGTAGTAAAATCCAGAGCTTATGGGACCTGTTAATGTAACTTTTTGTTCATTAAAAGCTATCGAAGACCCTTCTTTTGGCTACTTTGTCAATGCTGACCAGCATACCAAGGAAGGCGAAGTGGAAAAGATTCTGTATCTTTTCTAAGCATGGCTTCTATGATCCTAAATGATTTTTGGAGAGTTACTTTAACCAAATTGTCTTAGATGAATATAAGAAACTTGGATGGAAACTTATTTGTTATAAAAACATTAAGTCTTTATATTTATCCATTTAGAATCACAAAGTATATTAAGAATTAATGCGATTTAGTAATGTATATGATGAATGGAGGCTAGGAGGTTGGTCATGTAAGGCCTCTTGGTGATATTGTAAAAAGGATCATCTGTAAATAGAAACTACACTGCAGAGAGACATCCAGTATGGAGAGAAGCAGGCAAATCAAGACAATTCTAACAGGAAGCACCACTCTCTAAAAATCTAGATCATTTCATCCTTTTCCATTTCACCAGTTCAAACACATGTAATTTGCATACTAAATTTAACCACAAATTTCTTTTCACAGACACACACGAGTTGATTCTTCCATAAAAATGAGAAATCACACAATGGTGACTGAATTCATCCTGCTGGGAATCCCTGAGACAGAGGGCCTAGAGACGGTGCTTTTTCTCCTGTTTTTATCATTATATTTATGTACTCTCTTGGGAAATGTGCTCATCCTTACAGCTATCATCTCGTCCTCTCGGCTTCACACTCCCATGTATTTTTTCTTGGGAAATCTCTCCATGTTTGACTTGGGTTTCTCTTCAACAACTGCTCCCAAGATGCTGTTATACCTTTCAGGGCAGAGTCAAGGTATCTCTTTACAGGGCTGTGTGTCCCAGCTCTTCTTCTACCATTTCCTGGGCTGTACTGAGGGTTTTCTGTACACAGTCATGGCTTATGACCGCTTTGTTGCCATATGCTACCCTTTGAGATACATGGTCATAATGAACCACAAGTTCTGCTTCATCTTGGCCACAGGGACCTGGATAGGTGGATGTGTCCATGCCATTACCCTAACCTCCCTCACCTTCCAATTGTCCTACTGTGGCTCTAATGAGGTGGGCTATTACTTCTGTGACATACCTGCAATCTTACCTCTAGCCTGTGGTGATACATCTCTAGCTCAGAGGGTGGGTTTTACAAATGTTGGTCTTTTGTCTCTCATTTGCTTTTTTCTCATCCTTGTTTCTTATGCTAGAATTGGGATCTCCATATCAAAAATTCGCTCAGCAGAGGGCAGGCAACGAGCATTCTCCACCTGCAGTGCACACATCACTGCAATTCTTTGTGCTTATGGGCCAGTGATCATCATCTATTTACAGCCCAATCCGAGTGCCTTGCTTGGTGCTACAGTTCAGGTATTCAATAATCTTGTAACCCCCATGTTGAACCCACTGATCTATAGCCTGAGGAACAAGGATGTAAAATCAGCCCTGAGGAATGTATTTCCTAAAAGAGGTTTGGCTCTGAAAAATAAGTGAGAAACTCTAAAACTTTGCTGGACATAGTTTGTTTCTCCATTTCTTAGGACAAATTCTCATCTGCAGCTTCCACGACATGTTGAAATTAAATGTACTCTGAATAAATATATCACTTAAACTTGCTAACTTTTAAAATATATGTCTGTTTTCATATTTCCCTGTTTCATAATAAAATCTAATTAATGGAGTCATTTAGCAGATATTGAACTGATTCTTACACTGCATGGATGCTCTCCCAGCAGCATCATTCTCCACAAAGCATTTCTTAGTTCTTTAAATCTTCCAAAGAGTTAAGAGAACTTATTTTCTTTCTCATAATCTCAGTTAAAAGTGCATTCATGTGCCAGCCCTGGTGGCACAGCAGTTACCTTCATGCACCCTACTTCGATGGCCCCTGATTCACTGGTTTGGATTCTGGGCACAGACCTAGCACCATTTATCAAGCCATGCTGTGGCAGGTGTCCCACATATAAAATAGTGGAAGATGGGCACAGATGTTAGCTCAGGGCTAATCTTCCTTGAACAAAAAAACAAACAAACAAGAAAATTCATTCATATGTGTCTAGAGTGAAGAGAGAATGGAAAAAAATTTCGAGAGAGCCTAGCTTAATACAGAATAGAATAACTCAATATCCTTTTTTCTCGTAGAGTATAATCTCCAATTTTCTGCCAATAAGCACCAAAACTCAAATTCATTCAAGTAATGTTTAAAGTAAGATCTTTTTAGTGAAGTCTAATGGGATTTAAAGATTTTTCTAGTGTGCACATTCCTTTGGTATCTGGATATTCTTTCTGTATTATTAGAGTCCTGGAAGGCTACGAACTTGAATCATTTCCCATTATCCCCTAAAAGAATCAGCATTAGTTTTGTAAAATATAGTAAAAAACAGACAAACCAAAAAAGCCCAATCTAGTTTAAATATGCTACTACATGTTTTTCCCAAACAAGGAATATTAGTTTATCCCTATGTGTTACAGAAAACCCAAGTTAGAATTTTCATTTAAATTCATGTAGCGATAAACTTGCTTCTCCATTGAAAAGAATATGTTTCTTTTTTTCTCATAGTAAGATTTATAAAATTTGTTTTGACTTCTCTAATCTCTGTGATCCATAATGCTAAGGAAAACAAATAGGTACATTTTATTTATAGATACTATGTGAACTTAATATATTCTCATTCTTGTTTTCCTAAGTTTGTTTTCTCTTTTTATATTTTACCTACCAGTTCTTTATGGCTTTTCTTGTAGCCCACATTAAGTCATTTTTGGAAATAACCAGAGAATTAATAGTACACTAAACAAAAAAAACCCAAAAATAATAATAAATATCTACTTTAGAAGTGAAACAGTATTTTTCATAATAGAATTATTATTTTCTTGCTTCTCTTCCCTTCAGTTCCTGCCTAACATCTCAGATGATTAAAAATAAGTTTCCTAGGTAGAAACTATAACCATCACACTGAGTGTGGAGTGAGCTATTAGGAAATATTAAATGAGCTCCAGTGACAGGAAATGTCAATCACCAGTGCTTTGTGATTTGCTGTATAAGAATCTGTAATGTGAGACCCTGTAATTGTACCTTACAAGTAATTAGGTAGTCACTGTGGCTAGAAATCAAAAGGACACTAATCCGATTTCAGGTAACTGTAACTGTGGGCCCTCCAGTGCCAGTTCAACTGATCTCAGCTCTTATCAACAGAGGGATTAAGACTTGTCTTTCAGAAAATCTGCAGTCATGTAGCCAGGGCATGCACAGAAGAAATCCTGACCTGAAATTACCACAGAACCAAAGATCTTCATAACTAAAGGACATATCCCCACATAACCAAAGGACCAGGACATGACCGGAACTTAAAAGTCAGACTCTTATCAAAAAGAGAGGGGTCTCTCATTCAGGAAAATCCAGGGTTAAAATTCCTTCCATACCTCATCACAAATGTTTAGCACCCTCTCATAAAAGTTTAAAATCTCATCAGAAATGTTTAGAGCCCTGTCATAAATGTTTAAAACCTTGCCATAAATGCTCGAATCCACCAATCAAAACCTGTACCACTAGCATTTCCGTGTTTGCCAGCCTGTTCTCCCTAACTTCTTAAATTTTGCCCCAAATCCTGAATCAGGGAGGCAGATCTGAGGGCACACGCCACCTGTCACCCTGCAGATCGATCTAGCTGATTAAAATAGAATAAAGCCGATTTCTCCCCCAAAAGCTGATGTTGTAATTAGTTAGGTGTTCGTATGCACTGGGCAGGAGAACCACAACCTTGTGAGGTAACACAACGTTAGTTACGCTGAAGTTACAGCCTTCAGATAGGCAACAATTGAACTGAAATATTAAACATCAAATGTTAAAAGATAAAATGTAATAGCTCAATTTTCTGTATCTCTTTACTATAAATATCAAAAAAATAGCTTCCATTATAGCAATGTTTTTATCATTTTAAACGTTCTGTTACCCAAAAAACACAATAGTCATTGTTATTCTTTAAGCCCTATCATGATGTCGTCAGCTGCATTCATACACATTAACCTCTTTCTTCCTCTAAACTCCAAGGATTCATATTAATTGCTTTCCATCTTCCTAAATGTAAACACTCATTTTTTTTCTTCCTTAAACTCCCCGTTTGGCATGCGAATGTTGAAATAGGCATATGCTTTACAACTCCCACTCTTCTGTTCTTTAAACACACTCAGACACACACACACTTTTTGTTTTCCGCGTTTTATCACATGTCACTACAAAGAAACAGGTGGCAATACTAAAAAATAATATGCACTTGTAAAAGTAAAATGATTTAGAAAGTCTCTTTGAATTTTACCCTAACAATTTTCCTCTAATGTGTATTAAAATGTAATTCCAACTAGTCCTGTCCTCCTTCTGTCCTCCAATTTCTTCACTTTCCACAGAAGCGAAGAGTTTATAGGCTAAGAGCCTGGATTGAGAAATGTGTTTAGTCAATGGCAGAATCAAAAGTAGAAACCAGAGCTTCTGATTTGCAGATCACTTCTTTTTCTGCTTCACAAACTTATAAACGCAACTGAGAAATTTACAGATGATCTTGATGCTACATAACTTTGCTTAATTTCCAGACAAGTCATCATAACCATAAAAATACTAAATAAACAAGAATTAATCATTTTGTTGTAAGAGGGCATTTTTATTGAATCTGAACTTTCATTTCTCCTAACATAAAACATATAACAGCTTTTAAACATAAAAAATCTAATACAAAATAAATAATTTTTAACCTTTATGTTCTCATGAAGCACCCCTATAAACTTCATCAAATTACTTTTTAAATTTAGACACAATGTCAGACTTACAGAAAAGTTGGAAAAGTAGTACAAAGAATCCATGTATACCCTTTACTCAGATTCCAAAAATGTTATTATATTTGCTTTATTCCCTCTTATATATATATATATACACATACAAACACACTCACTTTATTTTCTAAACCACAATAAGTTGTAGATGTGATAAGTTGCAGACATAATGTCCTCTTTCCCCTCACACCTTACTTGGAGTGTGTTTTCTTAAAACAAGAATACCTCCTTATACAACTATAATGTAGTTATCAAAACCAGGAAATTAACATTGATACACCTCTTTATGTAATCTACAGACATTCTTTATATTTTACCAACTATTCCAATAATATCCTTTATAGCAAAAAGAAAAAAGAAAAAAGAAAATTTCCAGAGTCATGGATTGCATAAAGTTATTTCTCTTTGGTTTCCTTTCATCTAAAATATTTCTTCAGTCATGTATTCCATTGTATTCCAGGACATTAATGTTATCAAAGATTTTAAGCTTGATATTTTGTAGGACATCCATCAATTTTAGTTTGTCTGATGTTTCCTTCCTATTAGATTCAGATTATGCATTTTGGGCAGGACTGACTCAGAAATGATGTTGTGTTCTTTCCAATACATCATATCAGGAGGCAAGTGTTGTGCTTTTGTCCCATTACTAGTGAGGTTAATGCTGATCATTCTTTTAAGGTGGTAGCTGCCAGATTAATCAAGTGCTAATTATTACTTCAATTTCCTCATAAATAGTGATCTTTTTTAGAGAGAGAAGTACTTTGAAATTATATAAATATCCTGTTACTCCTCAAATTTTTACCTGTTAGTTTTAGCATACATGGATGATTCTTGCCTGAATCAATTATTGTATGATATTTGCCAAATAATGATTTTCCAATTTATCATTCCTACTATATTTATTAATTAGCTTTCTACTGTAAGGAAGAGTTTTCCCTTTTGCCCTATTTATTTATATCAAAATGACATTCTAAGAGTGGGTTAAGCATATGATACCTATCTTCTTGAGAATATGATAAAGGCTGTCAGCTGCAATCATGAGATGAGATGATCATATTAAGACTTTATCTCCTTGGGGAGGAGATGTGAAAGATATCAAAACAAGATTTTTCCACCTGACTAGATGCCTTCTAAGTTCCCTTCCAACTCTGACATACTAATTCTGTCATTCTGTATTACTGTGGATCATTTTATCTGGTTGGGGAAATGGGATTATGGATAGAGGGAAGAATAATGGGACTGAAAATAATAATAATAATGGGACTGAAAAACACATGTTTTCTTGGAATGAAATCCTTGCTAAATTATCCAACAAATGAAAA